GGAGGAGAGAAGGGAAAGGAAAGGAGAGGGAGGAGGGGGGAGGGAGAGAGAGAGAGAGGTGATGGTGATGACTAGAGGAGGGAAGGTGTGCGGTTAGACTCATTCTTAGCTGAGACTGTTTCCGAGGCTGGAAGATGGACCGCATTTGTAGCAGGCAGCACTCTCCCTCTGCTCTCACACCCTACCCAGAGCGGATCTGACGAGGACATTTTGTCCACCTCTGGTCTACTTTTCAGAAAGCAACTACATTAATCTGTCTTAAACATAAATTCAATTATATAACTTTTCAGCTTAAAGTTCTTCAACGAATTCTCACTGCACTCAGAATAAAATTCAAGCTCCTTGGGCCAGGGATTTAGCTCAGTGGTTCAGTGGCCTGCCTTGCAAGCACAAGGACCAGAGTTCAATCCCAGTACCAAAAAAAAAAAAAAAAAAATTCAAGCTCCTGTACAATTACAGGGCCCTTCATAACCTGCCTGCTCATATCTCCAAATTCATGCTGTGCATCTCAACATAGAGACTTTCTGCTCTGCATGAGACATGGCCTTTCCTGCCACAGGACCTTTGTATATACTCTTCTTGCAGAGATCACTCTTCTTCACACCCTCCAAATACTCCTGTATGACCTCTTCAGAAATGTTCTTTCTGACCACCACATCTTAAGTGAACTTCCCTTATGGTCTATCATTTCATATTCTCTTGATAGCACCATTTGCAATTGTAAATATACATATTGTTTTCTAAGTTTAGTCTTCATTAGATTACAGACTTCTTGGGGGCAGGAACTATGACTAATCTATTGAATGTCTACTCTATTGAGTGCCAAAGCATGTATTCACTGATTGAATAAATGCCTGTTGATAACAATGTCTTCTTATGCTATTCAGGGTGGTAAATACCCTAATTCAGAATGGATTCACTCTAAAATAAAGCCACACTTGGTGTAATTTGATGATGTAATGACAGGGATTAGAGGTATCTGTTGCCATAAAAGCAGTATTAATGGGAAATGTCATTTATAAAATGGCAGATGTTTAGACATGGCTTCAAAGTAAAAGGATATACATTCAAATGGGGGTCAGGGAGAGACAGGCTGGTTACAGAGAAGAAAGAAAGAGATGCTAATTCTATAGACATGCAGATGGATAGAAATTCCATATAGTTATAGAGATATAGATTTACTATATAAATATTGATGCAGTTAAAACTCATAGGAAGACCCTCTTTCTAAGAGAAAATTGTGGATCACCTCAATAAGAATATCACAGAAAAAAACCAGGCATCAGTGGACTTCCCGTCTTTATTTATAAACCCATCTTCCAGCCTTTCTGACCTTTTTTACACAATACAAATTCATCTCAAGTTGTACAGTCTGTTATGTTGGCAAGTTTGTAATGACAAATCCTATTTTCCATCTTTGAATGTTGCTCCTAATTATTCCATTTAACATCATGAGCGAGAATCTTTGTGGCAGGGGAGGTAGGGAGTACTTGTAGATTTGATGTTTTAAGTAGTTTTGCTATCAGAAGTCTGTGTTTCTTCCAGAATGAAAGGCTATAAAGCTACACATTAGGATAAATCATAATCATATGGAGGGGCATTTGTCCTTTTGTTTTTTTAAACTCACTTTACCCATGCCTCTTCCTCCTCAATAACCACAATAGCACAAGAATAATCAAAGAGCAAAACTGGTACTATAGATGTCTGTAATCCTGTAGAGCTTTCACACGACTTCTAACTGGGACATGTGAACATACACATAAAAATATATTTGCACACATACATGTACATACATATGTATACTTAGAGAATGCTAATAATGATCTAAAGCAGCAGTCTCTATAGTCCAAATTTTATGCTACATAGTAACAAACAACCCACTGTTATGCTTTAAATATCAGCAGAGATAAATTTTTCACTCATTATACATTTTAGGGCAGCAAGTTTGTGCTGGTCTTATGATGTTTGGAGATTTTTTGATATATAAAGAGTTAAATGTAGTCTGATTTAAATGAGGGTTATGGATTTAAAAAGTGACTTTTGATCCACATTTCCAGTCCTCATCTGGAATGACATTACTTTCTAGAATGACAAAGATAGATTGCAAAATGATGGATTGTTTCTCCGTTCTCATTCCTGCAGTGTTGATTCTACAACCAAAACAAGTGTTGCAGCCACCACTTAAGTTTATGAAGTATTTTAGGCAAGGAATGATTTGGTAGCCATGGGGAAGACTATGGCGCGTTGATACAATGGCCACACACTAAGTTAGGTATTTGTTCTGTGGGCCATTTATTTTAAAAATTAAATTAAAATTCTTATTCTTGAGAAGCTCTAGTTTGTTTACTTTGTTTTGCTTTTAGTGGCAGTTTCATTTCCTCCACATTCCTCACCCGTGTTCATGTGCATATTGAATTTCGTGACGTCCCTCCCTTCTCCAAATTCAAGTGTACCTGACCATCACAGTGTGGCAGCCCCAGGATTACTAAAGCTTCCAGCAGCTCCACAACTGGCATTGCTACAATTTTAATATAATCTCACATCCTGGAGTCCGAATGCAGAGTATTATATTAACATGCAACAACTATTTACCAGAGAAATGGAACATTTGTGTCATATATAATAACATGTATGCTAGCAATTTAGTCTCTAAATTTTGCAACCTAATGTGAATGACCATGAAGCACTGACATTTTGGGGCCGTAATATGATTATGCACTGAAATTATAAAAACTATGACACCGAATAAAGGAACATACAAAACTACTTGGAGTCATTACTGTATAAAGTATAAGTAGATGAATATTTTCCCTATTCTTAATTCTCACCAATGGAAATTATTAATCTAAAATAAAAATGTCTTAATGTCTCTCCCGGTGCTTCTCTGAGCAATAGGAATAACAATTATCACCAAGAATTGCACAATTGAGGATCATTCCGGCTACGAGATAAGTAGAAGAAAACCTCAAGAAGCAGAAATGCATTATAAACTGCATCATGACACATTGATATTCAAAGTTATAAACTCTTCCAAAACTTTTCTAAATGACTTATATTCATGAATAAATGTGATTTTCATTTGTTAAAGTGAAATGAAAAAGATTTAGCATATTTTTAATCTCCAGTTTTAGAAATATGCATTCGATCTAAATTGGCTTTCTTTTTAAAATTTGATATCTCCTCCACTTTATCTGTCAAGTAGGAAAATATTTCTTACATAGTTCAGACTTCATTTTTCTAGTTTCTGCGGGCTCAACTGGTTTCAGGAAAATGAAGGAAAAAAGTCCACAGCCAGCATTCACTGTGAGGCTTTCTTACTTGAGTTCACGGCATTCAATAAATGCTGCTCCACTTCGAAGAAGCCAGCTCCAGATCTGTCAAAAGGCGCGTGTGAAATTCTTGACCTCAAAGTCAGTGCTCATTTCTGTCAGCACGGACTTCCTCATTCACAAACAAAAGCATCAGGAACAGCAAAGGAATCAATGACGAAGGATGAGAACAGGTTGAAACCAAAAGGTCATGACTTCCATGAGGCAACACTCCCCATGAGGCAAAACCTAAGCTGCTATTGCTTTTAAGAATTTTTCCATTTCTTTTCAGGATGAAAGGTTGGAAAAAGTGGACCTTTGAGAGGAAATACTACAGACTTCTAAGTTGGTGAAGGAACTTCCAGCATCACTTGGATACTCTGGGTAGGAAGAACTGGAGGAGATGATATTTTTGAGCCTCTGGAGGGCAATGATTAAAAGCAGAAGCAGAAAGGCTAAGAGGCTGAGGAATATGGAAACATAGATGTAGACACTGGACAGACGGCCAGAGGACGGGTCCACTGATGCGGACAGTGACGTAGGGTACAGCTCAAGGGAAGTTCCGTTCTCCACACTTCCTGCAAATCCGGATGAGGAGTCGGGCTCAGACATCTTTATAGAAGGTGAAAGATGAGCAAAGCTAACAACGTTTCACAGAAGGGTTACAAAGGGAGGAACTGGCATTGTGTTTTCATCATAGCATCAGCAGAAATTGGAGGCTGACAAATCAGCACAACAGAATTCGTGGTTTTTAAACAAAATCAGCAGCAGGGGATAAGGTGTCCATCGAGACTGCAAAAATAAACACAAACAGCAACTCAGTGCATTCTTCATGAAATTTAACATTTAAATCTAATTTTTAGTTTTTATTTCAGTAAGGTTTCATTACAAAACTCACTAGGGAGGAAAAAATGAAATAACTCCCCCAGGAGCAAGAACTGTTTATGTCTTTATATTACAAATGATGATATAAAAATGAGCCTTTATTTTTCCTCCACAGTACCCAAGGTGCCAGGTTTCTCTGAGAAACTAAAGATAAAATGTCTTCCATCTGCTCTAATTTCAACAGATGCTCTAAGTGAAACCTCTGAGAGGAGAACCCTAAAACTTGTATCTACAAACCTTCTTCCTTCAGAAAATTGCTTCTGTACATCATGAAGCCCACTAGCATCTTTCTGGTCCGATATTCCCCTCTGGCACGTGTTGGAGAATCCCTTGACGTGGAAATATGCTTTTGTTGAATGTTTGTAATTCAACTAATTTTTTAAATAAAAAATTTAATCTATGTGAAACCAGGGGCCATTTCTATGTATTTTTTTTCTTTCAATGTTCCTAGGTAGTTTGTTTTACATACTTTAGGTGTTGAATTTAAAAGAACCTTCAGATTAATTTAAAAGAAGCTGGATTCCTGAGTAGTAGGAAATATACTATGTTTTCTCTCTAGGGCTTAGATTTAAAGTCTGATTTCTGTTTCCTCTGGGAAGTGGGGCACACTGCTGACATTTCCTGAGCTTCTGTCACCTGTGCGATGGGGACACCTGGCCCATGTACCAGCAAGACAGAACACAGGGAAGCATTCAGTGAAGTGTGAAGGTTGAGCCAAAATGAGGGTGTGTGTGTGTGTGTGTGTGTCTTACAGGATACTGAGGGGAATGCTTTTTCCCTTAGCCAGGTACCAAGAAAGCCTTTTCATTACATTCAGGTATTAGGGAAGCAGTGTGAGGAAAGGGGAACCTCCAGGTAGAAAACTTCAGGAGTCTCTTGAAGTCCATAAAGGTTGCCATTCCTAGCTCCTTCTGGCACCAGATCATTTGGCTGTAAGTTGCCATATCTTGATTCAGGTGTGGTGAAATGCCAGTGGAAGAACACTTTTTCTCACCCTGGCTTTCCCTTCTTAGACACTGCCTGGCTTTTTATTTTGAGAATTTGCCTTTTCCTTCTCTTCTCCAAATCTAATTAACCAGCTGATTCTTTGAGTGGCTGACATTTACCGTCATGGCTGGAGCTGAGCAGCACTAATGATCCCTGGGAAAGGGGAGCATTTCAGAGGGTTGTCCCTGCTAGGTGTCACACAAAGTCACGAGTCCTAGCTTCTCAGAGTAGGCCAAGGACAATGTCTTAGTAGTTCTTAAAATAATTTGTCTCCTACTCCTCATTATGCTTTGCTGGAGATTTCAATTCCATTAAGCTGCTATAGGCTATTAGCAACATTAAGAAAAAAAAAAAAGAATCACAGTGGGCCTGCCAATGTACTACACTGTTTTGGTAACACCTATTTATTATACAGCATGTAATTTATTTTACAGTATGTAAATGCTCCAGTAGTTCATCCTAGGGAATATAGCAAAGTATCTCTGAGTATGGTGCCCAGCGGGGGGTGGGGGAACTAGAGTAGAAAACTCAGACTAAATTGAAAAAATACTTAAAAAATTCTGGTATTACTAAAGTATGGCTGAGTGTGACAAGCCTGTAATTTTAGCATTTGGGATGCTGAGGCAGGAGAGTCCTGCTAACCAGGGTTACTTGTTGAGTTTGAAACCAGCCTGGTCTAATAAGTGAGACCTTTTCTCAAAAAACAAAAACAAAAACAAAAAACAAAACAAAACAAAAAACAAAGTGCTGCCGAAGCAACTGAATAGCAAAAATCTACTTGATTTGACATGAATAACACTGTAAGTAAAGATAAACAGAGTTTACGGTTCAGCCTCACACCATCCCCACTCCTTATCTATTTTCCTACCATCCTGGGAGGAAGGACTATACGTTACCCTTTTTGTAAGCATGGACAAAAAAGGTAAGGACTATTCATCTTTCATTTTCCTCACAAGTATGTGGGGCACAGAAAGAGGAAGCAAAAGTTGTACCCATTTTGCAGACCAGAAAACAGGTGCAAAGACATTGTGACTTAGTCATTCTGTACAGTTGGACAGTGACAGAGAAGTAACTGCCACCCATTTTGGAATCATGTTCTTGGTTTTCTTCACTTTATAGAAAGAGAAAAATGTAAGACTTGGTGGTTAGTTCTTCTCTGCCACTTTCCTGGGGCAACCCCATAGCTAGTCTTAACAGTTCAGTTTTCCTATCTGCACAAGAACAGCATTCACCTTTCCTATCTCTCCAAGCGGATGGAGTTAAATGTGATACTGTTTCCATAACCCTGCTTAGAAAATCAGAAAAGGCCATCCATGTAAAATAAAGTTCAGCAGACTGACAGTTCCTTCTGACCACTTAGAAAGACTGGTGGAGCTGCAAGGTCTGTGCCAGTCCTACATTTCTGACACGAGAAGGTCACAGATTTAGCCAGAATTGGCTCAATTTTCTCAAGTCCCTTCTCTGCACTGAAATGGGTTAGCATTTCCTATGGGTGGGCCTGGAAGCACACAGACAATGTCGCTGTGCTATCATTTAAGTCTGTGGCAAAGCTGACAGTTGGCTACCACACCACCTGTTAAAACCATGATATTTTTCGAGTGTGTGTGTGTGTGTGTGTGTGTGTGTGTGTGTGTGTCTGAAGACTGAACCCAGGGGCCTTCACTCTAAGCTACATCCTCAACCTTTTCTTATTTTTCTCTTTGAACATTGATTTGGTTTTGGACTTGAACTTGGAATCACCCTACCTCAGCCTCCCAGAGTGTTGAGATTACAGAATGATAATATCTTTACAGGGTTCATATTCCCAGAGGGCTTCTTCACTTTCCAGAGGTCACCTTGATCACTGTGCTCCTCAATTATCTATGGCATAGTCCACAGAAAATTAGGCATAGAAGATTTGGGCAAAGCCTCTGATCTCCAGAGTGGCCTTAGAAGAACAATAGAAAATAAAGAAATGAAATCTTGTGTCTTTATCTGACATTCCACAATATCTTCTTTAAATACTCCTTCCTCAATATGACAGGTTTATTGTCATTTCCAAAGTATATCTTCATTTAAAATGATAGCTACACAAATTTCTTATCATCGTTCTACTCTGAGACAAATAGACTACATGCATGATTAGAGATTATTGTAATCTGGCATCATTACTTCTCATTTCCTCATGAAGTTTAAAAATCAGTATATATCTTCCTCCTCCCTGGTGAATGTTTCTTTTGACAGCGAATGAATAATACTCGGGGATGAACCCATCTGCATGTGCTTAGGTATCATGACGGCTGGGACCGCTGAAGTGAAATCAAATGTGTATTGGGCTGTTTCTTTTAGATGTGTTTAAAGAAAAGAAAGAGACTTCACCTTGAACGCATAGTCTTGATCTGTCTCAGGGCAGAGGCACCAGCATACTTTCATTTCAGGTAAACTCTGAAGCCATGTTCAGAAAGGGATTTTTTTTTTTTTTTTTTTTTTTGAGAAAGGAAAATGCCACAGCTGGATCACATCGTAAGTGAAGATCCATGGAATTGTTTTAGCTCACAATCAGCCAGTTTTTCTTATCTCTTGGAATAAAAACTTGTGTTGGAAAGAACTCTACAAAAAATCAATGACCCACTGAATTGAGCAAAGAAGAGCATAGCCTAGTATGATGGGGAGGTGGAGAGAATTGAGACACGGCAGATCCTGTTCTAAGTCACTCAGTACCATGTCCCTGTGACCTCTCCTACAGAATGAAGCTTCCTTCCTATAGGATGGTTCTGAGGATTGGAATGTTTTGATAAATCAGAAATAGAGTTTTTGTCATGTGTCCCCATCTCTTTAGTCCTTCTAAAGGACCTCATCACAGAGTCCCCTCAGAGAAGTGTTCAAGACCTGTAGCGGACAGACAGCATATGGGCTGAGCCTACACCTTGGTCTTGACTTGTGCAAAACAATGGTTTATAAAATAGCCTACCAGTTAGCCTCAAATGTGGCACAGCAATTTTGGAATTGCAGCCATTTATTCAAATACATATCTGTGAATGACAAGTACTTAAAGGGTTTTTGGTTGTTGTTGTGGAAAACTGGGACAAGCTGCTTTGGCCCCTCGCAGATATTCTTTAAAGAGTGACCTAGCTGTTACGATCAACAATTTCACACCAGGGTCTCATCAGTGTGGAGTCCTACTGTGTTATATTCCAAAAGGAGGTCCCCCAAATCATTAAAAATGGTGCTGTAATGTGTTAACATGATATGCTTTTGCCAGTAGATGAATGTAAAATTAGATATTATAATGCAATCAAAGCTTTTAGGTGACATATTGGATCTCTTTCTCTGTGGAACACACAGAAACTCCCAGGAAACTTACCATACCTGAGCAAAACTGTTTTGAGCTTAAATGAAAATAATACATTTTACAGAAAACCTCCCAGCCATTCCTTTGCATAATTATCTTCTCTCTTAATACTTTCTGCCTTGGCCTTTAGGTCATGCTAGAAGAGAGAAGATCGGTGTGGATGATGCATTCTTTTCACCACTGGATAAATGTAAATCTTCACATGCAGAAAGTGACACTTACCCCTGGGCTTGCAATAACCACAACAAGGTTTATTGTCTTATGAGTTATCCTTACTCAAAGACGATTCAGCCATCCATGTATCTGCCTACTTGAGAACTGCCCTTATGTATCTGCAAAGTGCTTTGGGAGAGGAGAATTTGTTGTAAAGTCTTATTATGATGGCTTCTATCAGCCCAATAAAAAACAAAACCAAGTTAAGGAAATAAATGTTTCTATCTGCCATCACACATTGAGCCAGAGGGGCCATCTTCTGAGAAGAAACAGAGAGACACAGATTCTAAATAGTACCTTAGAATTCATGGATCTGAACAGGATAATGTAAGATGAAAAATTAGAATTAATAGTCCTTTTTACCTACAGTTCAGAT